TGGCAATGCCTCCAGCTGACGACGGGCCTGCTCAAGCGCTGGAGAGTATACTACTCCCCGCTGCCCACGCTCATCCGTCTCTTGGCCCTGCAGGGTGCGCGGTCGTCCGTTCTCTCCGCACGCTCCTCGCTCTGACGCTCGGATACACAGCGATCTGCTGGCCCGCGACGCACCTCACGCTCTCGGTGCTCAACCACGAGGCGCGCCCGGCGCTCTGCTGGGCGGTGATCGGGACGACGACGTGCTACAGCCGGAGCATCCAGCTCTGGGTGACCTCCAACATCGGGCCCGCGCCTGCACCACCTCCCGCCGCCGCCGCCGCCGCCGACAGGTCGCGTTCAGCTGGGGTGGTGGGACAGCCGTCGCCGCTGCGCCAGTCGGTGCTTGCGCGGGCGAGCGGGATGCGCGAGGAGTGGATGCGGCTGAGGAGGCGCCGCTGGGATTGGGGCGCGGTTGGACGCAAGTGCGTGCTCCCCGCTGGGATCGTGTATTTCGTGATGGCGTGGGCGGAGATGCTGAGACGGGAGTGGGAGCGCGCGGGCCCGGGTGTTTAGATGTATGATAGACAGAGTAGATACTGTATTGCTGTATGCAATTGCCCATTGCGCTCGCCTTCATCTTAGCTGCGTTCCTACTGTCCCCAGTACACATGGCTACGGTCTCAAACCCTAGTAGACTGCTCTGATCCATTGTTTCTAATTCTGCTAGCGCACGGGCGCCTAAAGCACAAACCTGCCTCGATGGCATTCCGCGCGGCTTTCTATGGTCCCAAGTCTACCTCCCACTCTATATTCCGTCTGTCCTCACTTCCAATGTACTTGCAGCTGCCTATGCTTCCACATCACCCCCTGTGCGGCATCCATGCAACTCCGTGGTCTGTCTATGAGTCTCGATGCCTGTGCCACCGCGCACAGCCCGTGTTGGCCTACTCAATTGCCAGGTCGTCGCCTCTTGCAGATGCAACGGAGCCACACCATCGCCCGCACCGCCTGCTATGTACTTCATCCTCTTCAGCTTGGGTTGTGAGTGCTACCTCACCCGGACTCGTTCTGTCTCTCCGCGCATCGCAGGACACGCCCTCTGCCGTCTGTACATCTCTTTCTCGCATACTCTCCATATCGCGTTGTAGACTCGTCCGACGGCCTGCTTCTGCAGCCTATGTGTGCTTGGAACTATCGTCGCGAAGCCGTCGAGTGGGGCATCATCCGCGCTCGTCTATCGTCGAAGGTTTGCGGGCTATCTGCGTTCACATACGCGTACAGGGAGTTTAGGTCGCGGAAAGAAGTCGTAAATGCGAAAAGTATCTCTCTCGTAAGTACTGGCGTCGCATTCTCCTCATCTGACCATGTTTGAACCCCCAAAGCTCCACGGCCACACATCGCGTTCGCCCTAGCATCGCGCTCCCCCTCTACCCGTTCAAGGCCGGTGTTTGCGCACAGATATCAGTCATGCATCATGCAGCGACCGCGTCGGCTCAGCACTCACGACGCGACAACTCAAGGCCCACGAGTTGCAGTCACATATCCGAGGATGCTTATCGGTCCGTGCGGGGAGCTTCTGCTGCACGCGGCGCTGGCTTCGACGTTCACATCGCGCATCTGACCTCCCACTGTGAGTACTCGCTGTATGCACGCGAGTGGCGACTTCCGTGCTGGCTAACGCGCGACGTAGCTTGACCTGATCCCAACGGACAGGCTATGTCTTCCGGTACCCAACCTCCGAGACGGCAGCCAGCGAGCACGCTGTTAATGGCTCGCCGTCGTCCTGAATGATGCAGGATTCAAGATTGTATGTTCGGCCCTCTCACCAGCCGCCATGGGACGTGATACGCTGATGCCATTGTCCACCACCGCACGTCGGCTCCAATGCACCCGCCTGCGAGGCAGATCCACGACAAGCTCGGAGTCTATTCCTCAAGCGATCGACACCAACACCAGACTGTGCGGTGCCAGGGCGACCGAGCCGATGAGAGGACGACGTGCGTATAGGCCGACGCGAGCACGACGGGCACAGCATCCGTGCGCATGCCTGATCTCAAGAGGGTGCCGGCTGTGCGCATTGGTCTGCCGCTCCCCACGCGTATCTCCGTGCGTGACGCTTATGGCTGCGGCTGGCGAGACCGCTGAGAACGAGGTCACGAGAACGTTTCAAGCGGTTCTCACTCGAGAACCTGCGCGTCGCGAAGAGCACGAGGTGTCTTCGCCATGCAAAATTATGGCAGACCCTCATAGACTCGCGACCTCGCAGCTAGTCGAGTGCTCCCTCGGGCGTTCTTTCAATGCCCGCATCGCTTCGCGTCCGATCAGGTGTGCGACCGTCGTCGCGGAGAGAAGTGTTCATGTTCATGTATGACTCAGGTAATCTTCTCAATTTATGACACCGTTCTATAGTACATCATCATGTGGCTGAATACTAAGCATGATCACGTTCGAGATAATGCAGTGACCAGAAGTTCGATTTCTGGTGTGGGAACGATGTACGGAAGCCTTCTCCGGCAGCTTGCTTGGGTAGAACCCACAGAAGATGCGGGAGGGTGGAAAAATTGCTGTGGCCGCTCTCATGGACAGAGAACCGATGCCGGTATTCTGTTATTTGAGGTCGGATGGGTGATGTGAAAATAACCAACTTCGCTTACCGTATGCCTCGGAAATGGGGCCAAATTCAAGTGAGCAGGATCCCATCATGCAGGCTCACATCACAATATCCCATATCATAGAATTACGATCACAGGCGGCTGATGAGGATGGACGTGAGATAGAGACAGCTTCGCGAGTGTCCAGGCAGCCAGGTGACGGAAAGAACTCATTGAGTCATTCTCATAATGAGGCTTCGCGGGGGCTGGGACATTGTGAGATGAAGTCCAGAGCAACCTCACAGTGGCCTAGACGTGTGTGGAATGAATGGGGAGCTCAGATTTTGCCAAACTTCCTATGCTGTGGAAGCGTACCGGTAGAGAGGAAGCCCGAGGCTGCCACCCAAAGGAAGCGCAGGCTCATAACACTTCATCTTGACACGGGTAAGGGCCGAGATGGCCTCTGAGTCAGAGAAAGAAGTTGTACCAAGAAGGGAGGGGCTTCTATCACAGGCTGTCGGCACCACCATGAAGCAAGTTGGTGTGATCGTTATGCACAGAAAGACTCCATGTAAGCGTGATCGAGAGCCAGCCGCAATCGCAAACATGCCTCGTCGACAGAACGACAGAGGACAGGCGGGTGCACCCACCAGCTCCAAGCCAGAGCCCTGCAAGTCAACGGACGATCCGAGACGTGAGAGAGTTTACGTACGCTGATAACACGAGGCCAACGGCGATCAAGATAAGACATCAAAATCAATGTGGCCGCCGTACGCCCACATTCCGATCGGCAGCTTCTGGAGCCAAACATGGCCGATTCACCAAAGGTGAGCCGGTCCTGTGCGAGAGAAGACCTTGCAGAGGATCGGTTTGGTGTGGCCTGGAGCGGATACTTTCATATT